TTTCCTTCTGAAGTCTAACAATATCGTATTTATCTTTAAGTTCACAACCTAAAGTCAGCAGTTCCCAAACATTTTGCTTTGAGCTTCACTTTTAGACAGATAATGTAACGTGAGCCCTCAAGTTCTAGCATAAATATCAAAAACAGTGTATGTCAGGCTCACCATCCTACTTGTAATTGCTGCAACCTCTGTTTGGGGAACCACTGCTTTGAGAGGTTGCCTTAGGGATTTTGAAGCTTGGCCTACAATCAAAGCTTGGCAATGGACCAGGCTTTCAGAAATGGATACTTAAGTAGGACATCTAGATCCCACGCTTTACTGATTGCGTTTTCCTTTGCAGTTTAAATGCCTGTTTTGTATGGCTCAGTGCTCACTTAAATGATCAGTGCAGGATTGAGACTCCTGGTAAGTTCCTTGTTCACTTAGGAAAGTTGAGTTCTCATAGTCCCTCTCTCGCATATTTGTACTTACTTTCAATTTAGATAATATGCATCTCAGGTAGAGGGTAACGCAGAGTGCATGAAGTATTTCTAAGCTGTCTGCTTTTTTCATTGTGAACTTCTTAATAGATGGTGTACCTAGGTCTATTACTTGCTTACGAGTAGGCAGTTCTGCTGATGCTGAGTAAGATAGTACTCATTATGTCTACAGCTGTTCAGGTTTTTTAACGTCCTTGCATTCCACATACTGGCAATTTTGAGGTTAGAGGACAATTTTGGTTAGGCAATTTTGAATGCTAGAAAACTCAGCCGCCAGGTTTATGGTGGTGAAAAATGGCACAGAGATGGCAGTGTTCAGACGCCATCCCTTCTGTCGTGACGTTGAGTTCTCACAGGGCTGTGTTGATTAGTATATTTAGCAATTGGCCCCTCTGTAGGGTCTCCCAAGCAGCCCCCAGTGTTCAATTGCTTATACATAGTGGTTCTAGTCTCCTTAGGGAGGATTTCAGATTTCAAAGACTTTAACAGGGACCGTAACATAACAAAAACCTAGTTTCCACTGTTGTTTGAGATCAGATTTACTAAGGTTTCCAGGTAAAAATGAGATGTTTCCAAATGCACAATTGGGAACAGTTATGGATATGAACGTTGAATTATTTATTTTAATCGGTGTAACATCATCACATACAAAAATGCTGCAGGCCCAACCCTACCCTTGGCCATGTTCTGTGTGTAAACGTTGTTCCTTTGGCAGTGAACCTTGCAATCTCATAAGCCGTGTTATCTCTGCTCCAACCAAATTTTGTATTTAGTGACCCTGAGCCAAAACCAATGAGAAGTCACAGAAAGACTCCTGTTGTGTCCGGTAGTATCTGTGTATCGGTCAGACTGCTACTGAGTACAGATGCCGTTCTTCAGTGTAGCAGTTTTTCTCAGGAGATACAAACTGAAAAGCTGTAATTGCAAAAAAGAAGAAATTTCCATCTACATGACAAGTAGGAGGAGGGAGAGACTCCTCTAGCACAATTTTTCTTCCTTTCATCTGATTTACTTGTCTGAACCATTCCTACACCCTTGCTTGATGCTTTCCAGTTAACACTAGCTATTCAGCGAAACCTGAAACTTGTCCAGCTTCTTAGTGTTCACTGCAAACTATAGCTCAGGTTAAAACTGTGATTTGAGTAGTCGTGAATTAAACATCTTAGCCAGCATTGGAGGTCACTTCAGAGTTCAAAGGCAGCCATTTAACTTCTTTAACTATCAGAAAAATACTTTTTCATTTAATACACCTCACCATCCTGAAGTAGGTTGGGCCTGAGCTTCGTGTTGTCACATAAAAGCAGTGTGTATAGGAACATTCTCTAAAAAATGAAAATAATTCAGTATTTGGAAAAAACAAGTTTTCAAATGTTGCCTCCAGTAGTCTATTGTATCCAATTTAAAGCCTAATGGAAAGAAGCAAAACTTGAGTATTCTAGTTTGTGTACTTAATATGTAAACAGGAAACAAGATGATAAGGTACAAAAAATCTACTCTATGTCAGAAAGTGTTTTCATGTTTATGCCTAGTGGTGCTAATTCTTAACACCATTAAAAATGCATTGAGGAATTGTACTGCTTAAAAATATTTAGCCCTAGTATTTAAAAATATTTAGAATCAGAATGTCTACTCAAGTGACTTTTTTTTTTTTTTTTCCTCTTTTGCCTGGTTGTTGGTGGGGATGGCTTCTTTCTCAAATGAAATGGTATAAAATCAGCTACTCAAATAAAAGAAGTGTTTTTGTATTTTTTTTTTTATTTTTTTCACTGAAAACTAACCACAAGAAAATTATTGCCGGCTACAAAATAATCACCCAAGAATTACTATTAACACTTTTTTTTCCATTATTTTTACAATTTATTGTGGTAGCTCTATTAAATAATTCCGCAGGAAAGTTTTTCTGTCCTTTCATGTGGAAACTCCAAGTGTGCATCATTGTCCTAGCAGCAATGAGAGCTTATGAGAAATTACAGTGTGCAAGAGGTTGTTGAAAAGCTGTCAATTGTCCATCTTTTCCTTATTTACAGTATTTCTCTTCACTAAACCATAAATACTGTTTTTAAATGTCTGTACACAGACATTTGACCTCTTGCATAGCAGCTTTTCTCACTGTGGGATTTACACAGCATAAACTTCAGCAAGCTTCTAACAGTTTGCGTGTAGAGAAGTACTGTGGCAAGGGGAATTGTTTTTTGTTTTTTTCCTAGCCTGATGCCTTGTTCTAAAAGGGAACGTTTTTGGCCTTTGGCATGTGCTGTTTTTAAAAACAACAGCAGGCAGCAAATAGTACCTAGTCTTTAAAAAGGAAACGACTGTCCTTTAATTATTGGCTAAAATCTGTTGAACCTATCGTATAACCTCTAGTGTATAACAGTGTTTTAACTGATGGAAACTTGGCAGTATGTTGCATAACGAATGCTTTTTCCAGCCAGACCACTTTTCTTGCCATTATAAACTGATGAATTCATTGCCATCATGGGTACAATTTATGAATAACGCTTTTTCTGAAATGCCATTGCCAGAAGGGCTAACTAGTAATGTTCTGAAGCTTCATGACCATGGTGCCATTTTAAATATAAATTGAAACTGTGTGATATAGTTGACTTTAAAATTTATTGGGCTGTTAGTGGATCTTTTGATTCTGGAATGCCAAAAATGGAGACTAAGCTGTTGGTTACCTTTGACAAAAATATCCCTGTTCATAAGTTTTAGTGGTCTAGTTTTCTTATTATCGAACAATTCTCAAACTATGCGTAGGGGAAAATTCTTCTCAAACTTCTGTTTAATATAGATGTTTTGGTAAATGAGCCTTAAAACCTTCCAAAATAGAACCACTCATTTTATTTTCTTGGCTTGGTGCACAGTAGGCGCAGTTAGTCATAAAGCCTTTTTATAAGACCAGAATTAGGAAACACATTCATTTTCAGTCTTGGGTAGGAGCCCAGTCGCCATACTCTATCTCTGGTTGATGGAACCTACTTGATGCCTCTGGGAGGTGAACGAACAAATCCAATAAAGGATTAGGCCATACATCATAAGAATGTGCCTCCCAGGGCTTAGTTTATTCTCCTGGGTATATAATGTCAAGAAGAGCTTTAAAGAACCCTGGTGGGCCAGAGGTAGGAAGAAGTGCTTTGGATAAAATAAGCTGGATTCAAGTAAACTCTTGAGCTTTTAAAATGTTCCAGAGGGAAAACGCTCTGCTCAGTGTTCTGTGGTTTTATCCGTTGCCGGTGCTGGTAGTACTGAAATAACATGGAAGAGGTGGTTTTCACAGTAGTATTTTCAACTCAAATGGATCGTGGTTTTTTTTACTTCCTAATCGTATGAAAAAAATCTGCTCCAGTTTGTTTTGTTTGCAGAGCAAAAAACGTTTTGTCAACAACTTTAATTACCCATCTTGTATATATTTTGTTTGTTGTTGTCGAGTATACGTTTCATGTTACTCCTGTCAGCAGTGAGGTATAATATCTAAAATATTACATATTTGATAAACGTTTAGAAGTATTTGCATAGGAGACAGTCCTGAGGCTGAGTGCTTTATTTCTAACTTTTGATTCTCTTGATTGTCTGCTGTATCTTTTACACTAATCTTTTGTAGAAAAGAAATAATGAGGATGGATTACAAAGCAATGAGTGGTGGCTGTGGAATGAGGGCAAAAATCATTATTTAATCATCAGATTAAAAAATACATGATGGGTGCCTCTAGGTAGCAGAAGGCAGCAGCATCCACGAATGCCAGTAACATAGTTCTGAGATCAAAAACAATGTAGTCACTTCATTGAAGCCCTCCGCCTGAGTTTGTTAGCCCTGTAAGAAGGTGAAACTTGGCTCACCCAGCTCTTCTGTGCGTTGCTAACTTCACTGAAGCATGCTAAGTTGTGTTCGTGTAATTGGAAGCAGGTATTTGCCTGTTTTCAACACCCAGCTGTAGCGAACTGGGTAGATGCACTTTCCTGCAAAATTGCTGTATTTCCCAGGGCACTGCAGCTGTAATTGAAAGCCTATTGTTTCCGTGCACCACCAAGAAAATGAGCAAATGATTCTTTGTAGTGTAGTTAGACCATCGAGTAGAAATGAATAAACTAATAATTGCATAATACATCTTCAAAGCAAGCACTGGTTGAAGGTTCCTACCGTTCTAGCTCTGAATAGAACACTTGGTAGCTGTCTTTCAAATTTCTGGCACTGTAATAGTGTGGTTGTTCAGATTGGTGTGAGGTGTTTGTAGAGCTGTGAACTTCCTTCCAAAAAAGCATAAAAGGAGAGAACTATGTTTAATCTTGGACTATGATGTCACGTTATGTTTTCATCAAGAATTTTGTTGTAGAATTTTTGCAGAAATGCAAAAGAAGATAATGCCATTGGTTGATGCTGGGTTTGTAGAGCCATTTTAGTTTTGCAGAAACAATGTCATTAACATTAGCAGTATTTCTAAAATGTGATATGATATGTGTCAGAGCCCTTATGTAATACCCTGTCCTTTTCTTTCCCTTTGTTTGTTACTTGTGTCTTCTCAGTGCTGCATACCCAAGGTCCCATTGATGGCAGTCTGTATGCAAAAGTGAGAAAGAAGAGCTCTTCAGACACCAGCATCCCCGGTGTTGCTCAGGGTGTTCCTGTGACCAGCAGTCCCGATCACAGTGATCATACCCTCTCTGTCAGCAGTGATTCGGGACATTCAACAGCTTCCGTCAGGACAGACAAGACTGAGGAGCGCCTTGCGCCGGGAGGCAAACGGGGTCTCAGCCCGCAAGAGAAGGCAGAGCTGGACCAGCTACTCAGTGGCTTTGGTCTGGAGGATTCTGTCAGCACCGCCAAGGATATGACTGATGCCCGAAGCAAGTACAGTGGGACTCGCCACATAGTGCCAGCTCAAGTTCACGTGAATGGAGACACCAAGCTTAAGGACAGGGAGACCGATATTCTGGATGATGAAATGCCCAATCACGACCTTCACAGTGTGGACAGCATTGGGACTTTGTCCTCCTCAGAAGGCCAGCACTCCACCCACCTTGGGAACTTCAGTTGCCATAAGAGTAGTCAGAACTCCCTTCTCTCAGATGGCTTTGGAAGTAACACTGGGGAAGACCACCACAGTGCTCTTGCCCCAGACCTGGGAATTGGTGTGGATCCCCTCTATGAGAGATCGTTTGGAAGCAGTGAGCCAAAGCCAGCTCAGCAGCTGCAAAGGAATCCTTCTGTCTCACCTCAGCCTCAAGCCTACGGCCCAAGTAACTACTCTACGCAGACCTGGGTACGCCAGCAGCAGATGGTCACTGCTCACCAGTACAGTTTTGCCCCGGAGAGTGAAGTGAGGGTTGGCATTCATAACACTGTAGAGAATTCAGGCAGTGTCCAGAGCCAGTCCCGGGTCCCGGACACCCCGACGCGGGGCTCCAGCAGCAGAGATGCTGTGCAGAGAGGGCTCGGAAATGTGCCAGGTGTCAGCGAAGCTGCAGAACGCTCCAGCGGCGAGAGTTTTAAGCCAAGACTAGTGCCTCAGAGGGACACAAACGGTCTGGATCTAGGACTGAATACAGGGGGCTTGCCAGCTTCTCCAACTTTGGATATTGATCAGTCCATTGAGCAGCTGAACAGGCTGATCTTGGAATTAGACCCTACATTTGAACCTATCCCAACCCGCATTAACACTGTCACCAGGGACCCAAATCAAGTAAATGGCTTCATCAGTCCTGATGCAGGCATGGAAGGGCTTGGCAGGAGCCCTGGCTTCCATGAGAAAGGAGAGATCACAAACAGGAATCCCTCTCGGCATGGTAAGTTGTTACAATACTGTTTGAATATAATGCTTTTCCCGGTATTTGCATGCTCTTGATGCGGTACAGCAGGGCCTCAGGTCACTGCTTACTGCTGTCAGGATGATTGTCAAGGAGGGATTATTTCAGGTACCCTCTTTATCTAAAAATGTAAGAAATTATGAAATCACACTGAACTCATTAGCTTTTTTTAAAATGTTTTGCAGATTTTTAAATGCCCTTGGATACGTGTATTCTGACTTGAACAAAATACTGTTCAACAAATTCTTATCCATTACAAATCATCAGTTGTAATTTTTTTATTGCTGTAAGTTTAGGTGATGGGGGACAGAATTCTTACTACATTACTACATGAAGCAGGTTTTAGAAAGCATCTGTAGTGAAATTTTTTGATTTCACTTTGATTAAAGTCAAGAAACGTCTAACTTAATTTTGTCATCAAATTCAGTATAATGCTTCTATGTTAAATTTCTGTGCCATGTTTTTGTTAACAGAGTAATCCTTGCCAATGAAGTATTTTAAAACATTTTCTTTCAGAAGCTTTGTTCTCTTTGCAATTCAGAAGTCACAGTGCTTGTTTGTTATCACAGAATCACAGAATGGCCAAGGTTGGAAGGGACCTCTGGAGATCTAACCCTCCTGCAAGGGTCCTCCCTCCTCAAGCAGAGTCATTTAGAGCACATAATCAGAGTTATCTCTGACTCTGATGTGATTGCAGAAATCCACTTGTGGAATAAAATACACAACACTTCTCTGGCTCACTGTATTGCCAAAGTAATGCTACTAGAACTAGCAGCTTTGTAAAAGCATGAGTACTCTAGCTCTGCTTAAAGTCAGCTGACGTCTTTCATTTACGCTGTAACTAAAATTTGTGACGAACAAGCTCTTGTTAATCTTGCTGTGATGGTTGAAAATCCTGTCTGGTTTTACTCCTCCAGCAGAACATATACCCTTCCCTTTTATTTTCCTCTTCCTTTTCTTATTCCAATATCGGCACCATGAAACGTTTGCCTGCATCTCCAGGGCGTGACTGCAGTATCTGCTAGCGTGCCAGATCATCTGTCTGTGGCCTCATGGACACAAATGAGCTGCTTCAGCTCAAGCCCAGTTGGATGTGCCAGACCATTAGATGATGACTATGCCTAACCACAGCATGTGGTTTCAGTTAAGAATTATGTATTTTATATGGGCGTGCAGGCGTGTGTGATCAAGGATGGTGATCTAATGCAGAGAAGGTGCAATCACAATTTTGCGTTCGAAAGGGTAACTGAGGGGCTAAAAAAAAGTGAAAGATGTAGTAGAGAGTTTAGTTGAGCTGCTTTGCTGTATTTGATGTTGTTGTTTTAATGTGGAATGTGTTTTCTGTGGTTCTTACAGGATTAAAATCATTAGTTCATAATTGTCCTGAGTCTTTGCAAATGATTATCTGATGGACAAATTGAAAATGAAATTTTTTTTCCAGCAGGAGAGAACTTTTCTTTTTGGCATACAGTAAAGTTAGTGAAGGGGAAAAGAAGGTAATGTAAAATAAGCTAGCCTTTACTGTTCCTTGTTTAAAGATTTTAATCTGAAAAGAGGTGTTTGAATTTTTCTCACAGCCTCTGGTCCTCTCCCAAGGGAAGCGGGAGTCACTGTCATTCCATTGCGTTTGTAAAGCCAGGTAAACTTTCTGCCCTGATAAGGACTAGGGAGAATGCAAGTCCTTGGGGCATGTACCGGGAGAGGATTTGTATCGAAAGATAATGATTAAACAGACGAAACAGGAGTTAAATCTGACTATATGAACAACATTTATGATCCTGGGTAATTTCTGAGCAGCAATGTGGTATAATAGAACAAGGAAAAAGTTTAATAGCTGGGAAGCTCCTTCAAATTTCTCTCTGTGCAAATTTCTCTCTCCTTCATCAGTCTGAACAAGGAAAAGGAGGGCATTTATGGGGTTGGTTTTTTTTTTTTTTTTTTTTTTAAACCTGTCTCTCAGAAATATTGAACATCCTAACAGGATGTTTACATCATACTGAGCTTCAAACATAGACGTATGCATGCTGATTCCCAAACCACTTCCCACTCAAGTCAATAGAAAAGCTCTTCTGATTGATTTAATTAGGCAGAGTATGTCCCTCTAAAAGTGAGCTGGTAAGCACAATTTATATGCTGAAAGGAAAGTGGTATGTAAGTGCTAATTATCATTACAGTAAATCTGTTTTTGACATTAATTGATTTTTTTTCCCCATACACTCTAATGCTCCAAAGGAAAACTTGTTTCCACTGAAATACACTTGCATTTGATCAACGGTGTATAGGTAAAGTGCCATCCAGGATTTTGTGGACAGTTCTGCACTCTACCAAACTCTGAACAAGTCAGCTACTGAAAATTTATCACACTATCAGATTTTTGTCTGGTTTTGTTCCTTTCATGGAGAAAAGGTTATTGTACAAGGACTTTTGGCATTTAAAAACAAAAAAATTATTGGTATGGAAACATTCAAGTATACTATTTAGAAATGAACTTTCTTTGAGAAGGTCAAAATAAGGGAGAGAAATAATTAGAGTATATGTTCAAAAATTAAGTAGCATTTCTTTTAGCCCTAGCTCTCAATACATGCATCCAGTCATTTCTCTCCCCTATCTTCAGTGTTTCCCCTCCTCTCTTCTTTCCCACTCTGTATCCCAGTATTTGAAGTCTTTTTGAAATTGCTGTGTTTTTTTGCAGCAGCAAAGATACTTCCCAACTTAATTTTCCAAACCCTTTAAATCTCCATTTCAGAGATATTTCATTTTCATGTTTTGAAACGTGTCTATGTCTTTGAGGCAATGGAGTCTCTTGGAACAAGAGGTATTTCCCTCAAAACAGTATTTCACAAGACTACAGTAATCCTTTAAGACGGACTTTGCCATGCTTGCAAGCAGCTGCAAGTAGTGTTGAGAAGTTCCTTGAGCAAGGGACCATCAGTGCATGAGTGGGCCCCTGCCCTGTTTGTTGCTCACTGTCTCCTTGAAGTCACTTCTCCTCACCATTGCTCCATCTTCTTTTGCTGTTCCTCTAATGGTTCCTTTCCTGCCCCGTCTCAGATGTAGTTGGCTCCGCTCCCGGGTGGTGTCCTCCTCCAGAGCCTTTCCCCGCTTTACAGTGGCCATGTTCTTCAGTACCCCCCCTGCCACTCCTGGAAGTCATTGACGTCCCTGATGAGCTCCACTAGAAATGAGTGCTAGAGTTCAATATATAAAACGTTATAGAAAATCAATTAATTAAATTTCATCTAGAAAACCACTGCTGTTTGTGGTGCACGTGTGAAATGCAACTATGCGTAGAGCCATGGGAAGTGAACGTTCTCCAAAGCTGAGTGCGAACTGAAATACTTGCATGCGCTCTGGGAGTGTATGAAAGTTCCTTTTTGTCTTCAGGGCTAAGAAAGCGTGCAAGATGTAGTACCAAACTGCAAGTATCGACTTTATTTTCTGGAAAAGCTAGAATCTCTCTTGTTCATATTCTCTTACTTGAAAGAAACTGTGTCGTGGAGTTTTCATCTGGTAAGGCAAACGGAGTTAAGGTTAAAGGTTTGTGAGCAGTTGAGGCTTCAAGGTCTATAAGGCTAGTTCCTTAATGCTTTCCCTTCCTTAATGGTTTCGTAAGAATTCTTCCTCAGGTTTGTATAATTTAATACCAGTAAATTCTCAACTCTTCCTTTACCACTAAATAGAAAAGATATTCAAAATCTGGCATTCCACTCAGTTTTTTTAAAATCTCTCTCTCTCTGTCTCTCTCTCTGTCTCTCTCTCTGTCTCTCTCTCTGTCTCTCTCTCTGTCTCTCTCTCTGTCTCTCTCTCTGTCTCTCTCTCTGTCTCTCTTATTTTTTTTTTTTTTAAAGATAATAAGTCATTAGGCCGAATATTTCACATTCATTGCTCCTGGCAGTGAGGTCTTCCAAAAATATAACCAACAGTATCTGGTATGGAGTGCATCCAGTATATTGGTTGTGGAATCCTTGGAAGTTGGCTTTAATTCAGTCACATTAAAGAATGGCTGGAAAATAGCTTTTCTACATCTATGAAAGGAGTTCGCTACCTCAGTGCATTCCACGTTGGCAAAAATTACTTTTTGTTGGTAGCTTTGTCTGCAAGTGTGATATCTCAGCCTGACACAGTTCTGGTGTCTCTGTGGTTTCTTATCCCAAACACCAAAACTGTACAGCCATGTCAAACTTCTTGAGCTTTGCTGAGCACAAGAAGTGCTTCTTGAATACTTCTGTGTGATGTTTCATTTCAGCATGTTAGGCATACATCATCTGGCAAAAAGACATGATGTTTAAGGGACCAGGAGTGAATGAACTGTTATTTGTCTCTTTAAGCCTTTTGCTAAATATTTGGTTGGAGGAAGCATTTACTCCTTCACGTTTTTACTCTCTGGAAGTCAGATTAATACAAAGCCTTCCATCGGCAATGGAGGCATAAGGAGGAAGGCAGCAAGTAAAGGGTTACTCTCATATTTTTAGGGCCGGAAATGAATGACCTGCATCTAGAGTTTAAGTGCTGCAGAGAGCCTGCAATGTGTGGAATCTAGGATGTAGGATGCAACAGTGAAGGCTTAGGTTGGCCTCTCTTGCTAGATTTACATGATCAAGATTTATGGTCCTCATTCTAGTCATATTTCCTGTCACTTAAGATATTTATGTTTGGGAAAATTTCCTTTAGGAATTTAACCCTCAAAGTGCTCTTCCTTCATTTTACCTTGTATTTCTCAGGGTCTTATGCTCTCGGCGTTCTTACTTTGAGGTAGCATCTTCTAGTCTTAGTCTCTTTGAAACAGGGTGCTAATATAAACATTTTAAGACTTCGACCCATAAGATCTAGTGGATGCGGCTCCAAGTAGTATGAGATATCCTGAAATAAGATCTGTTGTGGTCGTTGGTCAGAGGTTTTAGTTGCTGTCATCAAAAGCAGCAAAACCTAATGGGTGCTGGTTTCTCCTTTGCTGCAGCTCCTAATTCAGCATTTTAGTT